GCATTTAATGATATAATCATGTGGTTCTTGTTTTCACATTTGTTGATGTATTTAATTATATTTGTGGTCTTGTGACTGTTAAACCAGTCCTGCATCCTGGGGATGAAGCCTACTTGGTCATGGTGGGTGATTTTTGAGATGTGTTTTTGGATCCAATTTACTAGAATCTTGTTGAGGATTTTTGCATCTATGCTCATAAGGGATATTAGCCTGTAGTTCTCTCTCTCTCTCTTTTTTTTGGTTGGATCTTTACCCAGTTTGGGTATGTGTGATGTTAGCTTTGTAAAATGATTTGAGGAGAATTCCATGTTTCACAATTGCCTGGAATACTTTCAATAGAAATTGGTATCCGCTCCTCCTTGTATATTTTGTAGAATTCTGCTGGAAAGCCATTGATCCAGGGTTTTTTGTTTGTTTGTTTGTTTGTTTTGTAGGTAGTTTTTGAATGACAGAGTCAATTTCCTGGGTTGTTAGGTCTATTTAGTGTCTCAATGTCTTCTTGTTTCAACCTGGGGAGGTTGTGTGATGTCATAAATTCCTCCATTTCATTTAGGTTATCAAGTTTGTTTCCATATAGATATACATGGTAATCTCTGATAATCTTTTGTATTTCTTTGGGGTCAGTTGTGATTTTATCCTTTGTATTTCTGATTGTGTTTATTTGGGTGTTTTCTCTCTTTTTCTTGGTCATTCTGCCTAGAGGGTCCATCAATCTTGTTAATTCTTTACAAGAACCAGTTTTTTGTTTCGTTGATGTTTTCTATATTTTTTTCTTCTATGTCCTGTATTTGGGCTCTTATTTTGGTGATTTGAATTCTTCTGCTAAAGTTGAGGTTTGGGTGGTCTTCTGTTTCCAACTGTCTTAGGTGATTTGTTAGACTCTTAACTTGTGATCTTTCCATTTTCTTTATGTATACTCATAGAGATATAAATTCCCCTCTTAGAACTGTTTTCCTGGCATCCCAGAGGTTTTGGTAAGATATTTCTTCATTTTCATTTGTTTCCAGGAATCTTTCAATTTCTGCTTTGATTTCAGTGTTGACCCAGTAGTTGTTTAGCATTGTGTTGTTTAGTGTCCATGTCTGTGTGGGTTTTAGGAAAATTTTGTTGGCATTGATATTTATTTTTATTTCACTGTGGTCTGTGAAAGTACATGGCAATATTTCAACCTTATGGAATTTGTTTATGCTTGATTTATGGCCAAGGATGTGATCGATCTTGGAGTACATTCTATGTGGTGATTAGTAAAATGTATATTCTGTGGTTGTTGGGTGGAATAATCTGTAGGTATATATTAAGTCCATTTGGTCGAGTGTCAAGTTTAGGTTCTGGATCTCCTTGTTGATTTTTTTGCCTCAATGATCTATCCAGGGCTGTTAGTGGGGTATTAAAGCCCCCTGCTATAATAGTGTTAGAGTCAATATCTTTTTTTAATTTAATTACTTAGTAGTTGCGTTATAAATGCTGGTGCTCCTATGTTGGATGCACATATGTTTAGGATGGATATTTCTTGTTGATGGATTGAAACTTTTATTATGTAGTGTCCTTTTGTATCTTTTCCAACTTTTGATAGCTTAAAGATTGTTTTGTCTGATATTAAGATCGCAACTCCTGCCTCTTTTGTGGTCCATTTGCCTGGAAAATTGTTTTCCATCCTTTAACTTTGAGTCTGTGTGTGTCCCTTGTGGTGAGATGAGTTTCCTGGATGCAGCAAATAATTAGGTCATGGTTTCTTATCCAGTTTGCCATTCTGTGTCTTTTCAGTGGTGTGTTTATTCCATTCACATTCCAGCTGATTATTGAAATGTGATTGTTTATACCTGTCACGAGGTTCTTATAAAGTTTTTTCATTGTTTGTTTGCTTTATTTTGGCTTTGGGGTTTATATATATGTGCATTTTCAAGTTTCTTGTTGCATTATATTCTCTATTGATTCTGTGCTTGGCTGTTCTCTTGGGAAATGTGTGGTCATTTTTTTTTTCTTTCTTCTGCACTGAATATCTTTTTAAGTGTCTCCTGTAGAGCAGGTCTGGAAGCTGCACAATCTCTTAGGGATTGATTATCTGGGAAGGATTTTAATTCTCCATCACTGATGAAACTGAATTTGGCCGGGCAGGAAATTCTTGGTTGAAATTGTTTATCTTTGAGGACTTTGAATATTGAACTCCAGATCCTTCTTGCTTGTAGTGTTTCTGCCAGTAGGTCTGCTGCTATTCTGATTGGTTTTCCCCAGTAGGTAGTCTGACATTTTTCTCTTGCTGCCTTTAGGATTTTTTCTTTGTGCCTACTTTGTGCTGGTGAATTAATATGTGTCTATGGGTTGGACTTCTCATTTGATGTTTGTGGGGGTTCTCTGTATCTCTTGTGTTTGACTGGTCACATCTCTGGGGAAAGTTTTCTTGGGTTACCGCCTGGAATACTTGCTCCAAGGTGTTCTCCATTTCCCTTTCTTCTTCTGGGATACCAATCAGGCATAGGTTTGGCCTCTTGATATAATCACACATCTCTTGTAGGCTTTGTTCTTTCTTTCTTAGTCTTCTTCCTATGTTTTTTACAGATTGGTTTAATTCCATGTTCTGGTCTTAAAGTTCTGAGATTCTTTCTTCAGCTATATTAATTCTGCTTTTCATGCTTTTCATCCTGTTATTTATTTCCTAGATGAAATTTTTTATTGCCAAAATCTCTGTTACAAGTTCTTTCAGTGTTGCATCTTGTCTTTCTTGAGTCTTATTCACTCTTTCTATCCATTCCCTAATCCCTGTTATATTCTGGGGTCAGTCACTGGTGATGTCCATTGTTTGGACTCCAAGGTCTGATTTTTCAGGAGTTTGCTCTTTGTTACACTTGAACATATCTGTGGTCTTCCTTTAGTTTTTCCTCATTTGTGACAGACCTCTTGTTTTCCTCTTTAGTTCCATTAATTAGTGTCAGTGGGAGAGGTTTTCCCTTCTGATGTTTGCCAGCCCTCTATTCTTTCCTGATCCAGGCTCTGGATTTGTTGTATTTTGAAATATGACTGTGGGTGAAAAGCTTTGCTGTCTCTTGTAGTTTTGAAAGTTGAATAAGGTAGGGGATGGGGCTAGGATTCAGAAACTACTTGCAAATTACAATGTTCATTGATTGTGATATGTGTTCCCTGAGGCCCACTCTGCACCACCACTCTATATGATGATACAATGGGTACGTGTGTGTACCCCCTGAGTCTGAGACACAGTGACAGCAATGAAGAGCACAGAGAAAAATAGAATGAAATAAGATGGACATGAATTTTTTTAAAAAGAAAGGAAAAAAAGAAAAAAAATCAGAACAATGAAAGCAGAAACCAACACAAAAGACAATTGAACACACACACAGACATACCCACACACCCCAAAATAAACTGGAATAACAACAAAGTGCAACAAAACAAACAACAAAAAAGCCAAGAAAACTAAACACACACACACACACACACACACACACACACATACACGCCTAGCACAAAGTGAATGAAGAAGAAAAACAGAAAGACCAGGGCGGGGGGGTGGGAAGGAATTCAGATTGAACCCTCACACATATATTACACACCACACACCTTAAACTAAAAAATAAATAAATAAACAGAGAACAAAAGAGCAAAAACAAATCAACAACAACAAAATTGAAAGATGAACACTCAATCATTCACAAACACACATAAACAGAAAACAACAACAAAAGAAGAAAGAAACAAAAAAAAAGCCGGGCTCAGTGGCTCAGCCTGTAATCCCGTGCCTTTGGGAGGCTGAGGTGAGTGAATTGCCTGAGCCCGCGGGTTCGAGATCCACCTGGGCAGCGAGACCTCATCTCTACAATAAATCAAAAACAAAAAATCAGCTGGGCATGGTAGTGTATGCCTGTAATTCCGGCTACTCGGAGGGCTGAGGCGGAAGGATCGCCGGAGCCCAGCAGGTTGAGGCTGCGGTGGCCAGGAGTGGCCACTGCACTTCAGTCCGGGCGACAGAGTGAGACTCCAACTCAAAAAAAAAAGAAAGAAAAGAAAAAAATTGGGAGGATGCTTATCAAACCCTCACATACACATTCATGTGCAAAGGAAAAATATTTTTAAAATAAATGAACTAACAAACAAACAGGCAAAACAATTTTATAAATAAAAAAAAGAAAACTGCCCTCTTGTGGCAGGCTCTGTAATTGTTCCTCTAGTCTGGTCTCTCCACCTCTTTTACTCTCTCCCCAGTGTCTCGGGAGTAGGGAAGGAGAAGGGGCAGTGGAAGTGGGTGGGGCTGCAGTCCTCCCCTCCCACTCTTGTATGGTCAGGGAGATCTCACCAATTGCAGAGGTGGGGGGATTGTCTCTTTCCCAGGTATGTACTCGTGGGGTGAGGAGGGTGTGGGGGAGTGCCCCAGCCAGGCCTATCCTGGAATGGAGTTCTCCTATTGTAACTGATGTCCAGGCTCCACCTGGATTTGTCCCTCTCAGTCGTGTCTCAGCTGTGTGGGTCTGACGTTCAGAGGATTGCTAGGGAGGAGGGGTTTGGGTCAGCCCTGGACTCACCACTGATCTCTTTGGAGTTCTTCCTCATCCTTTTCTGGCCACACCCTTTGTCCCTCGACTGGATCAGGGTAGGGGGTGGCATGCCTGGGACTCAGCACTCGTCAGGTCCCTCCAAAGTTTGTGCTTTCAGGATATTCCCTATGGGTCATGATCAATCCCTGAGTAGTTGATCTACCAGTCACAGAGATCAGGTCTGTTGCTCCGTGGTGAGCAAGTTGGAGCACTTTCCTGCCCCACCTTCAAGATGGTGGCAGGGTACCTCTCTTATCCTCTCCAGTGGGACTCTGCCTCTGGGCTCCCTGCAGCCCCTGCTGCCAGTGCCCTGCCAGGCACTGAAATGATGAGGCAGTCTCTCCTGCTGCAGTGGTGAGGCAGAGTCTGGCGCAGCCGCTGAAATGATGAGGCAGTCTCTCCCTGCCACTTCTTCACAGGAAAACTTTTGTCTGTTAAAAAAAATGGTGATGCGCTGAGTCTGTCACTGCGGCAGCGAGTCTTGCGCAGATTGGAGCCGGCGGGAGATGCCCGACGCCTCCGCCTGAGGAGCGGGCAGTGACGCGATGGAGCGAGCAAGGGATTGCTTACATTTGAGACGGACTACAGAACAGTATGTGCCAGAGGTGAAAGTCCAAGTCAAACGCAGAAGGACAGTCTCACTGAGCAACCAAGAGTGTCAGTTGTATCCAAGGCGTTCTCAGCAACAGCAAGTACCTGTGCTGGATTTCCAAGCGGAACTGAGACAGGCATTCTTAGCTGAGACACCAAGAGGTGGTTCAAGGAGTATTGGAACAACAAGGAAGCTGACTCAGCAAAAATCAGGCTCCATCTAATGTTTGAAGCTTCTGCCCAACTTGCATTATTTCTAGGAGAACCTGCGTCATACCTTTATCTGTAGCCTTCCCCTAGGTCTTAAGAAACATGAAATTTTAACAGTGGACGTTGGATTTGGTGGAACAGCAATCATGACTGTGGGCAAGGGTAGCAAGATGTTGCAGCACATTGACTATAGAATGAGATGTATTCTGCAAGATGGTCAAATCTTCATTGGCACCTTTAAGGCTTTTGACAAGCATATGAATTTGATCCTCTGTGACTGTGATGAGTTCAGGAAGATCAAGCCAAAGAATGTGAAGCAGCCAGAGCGTGAAGAAAAGCGGGTTTGGGGTTTGGTGTTGCTGCATGGAGAAAACTTGGTATCCATGACTGTAAAAGGGCCACCTCCAAAAGACACTGGCATTGCTCAGGTACCTCTTGCTGGAGCAGCAGGAGGCCCTGGGGTTGGTAGGGCAGCTGGCAGAGGAGTACCAGCTGGTGTAACAATCCCCCAGTCACCTGCTGGATTAGCAGGCCCAGTCCGAGGAGTTGGGGGACCATCACAGCAGGTAATGACTCCACAGGGAAGACGTACTGTAGCAGCTGCTACCGTTGCTGCTACTGCCAGCATTGCTGGAGCACCAACACAGTACCCACCAGGACGGGGGACTCCACCCCCACCTGTAGGCAGAGCAACCCCACCTCCAGGTATTATGGCTCCTCCACCTGGTATGAGACCACCCATGGGCCCACCAATTGGGCTACCTCCTGCTCGAGGGACACCAATAGGCATGCCTCCTCCAGGAATGAGGCCACCTCCACCAGGAATTAGAGGTCCACCTCCCCCAGGAATGCGTCCACCAAGACCCTAGGATACTGTTGATCCATCTCAGTCACTTTTTTCCCTGCAATGTGTCTTGTGAAATTGTGTAGTGTTTGTGAGCTTTTTGTCCCCTTTTTCTGCATGAATAATAGCTAAAAATAAATGCATAGAGCAATTTTTTAAAATGGTGCTTGGTTTCTGCAACCTGGGAAGAACCAGGGACCAAGCAGAGAAGCTGCAGCACCAGCTGTTGCACCAGGAGGGTCCTGGCCACTTGCTCACGAGCCCCCACTTAGTCAGTCTCTCCCAGCATTTTCTTCCCAGGAAGGGTTTTGTTGATTATTTTTTTTAAGTGGCACTCGGTTTCTGCTTCCTGGGAATCACTAGGGTTCAATCCAAGCAGCTGCAGCACCAGCCACTGCAACAGGAGAGCCCTGGCCGCCAGCTCCCTAACCCTCACTCAGTCAGCCACTCACCTGCCCACTCACTCACCTGCACGTACACAAAATTTTCCATATACTCACTCACTCACACCGGGACTCACATAGTCTGATTGGCTCAGCTGCCATCTTCCCAACCTCTTCTGGAAAATGTTTCCAAAAGCTGTTCATTCCTCCATTCAACACAGATTCACTGAGCTTCTACTATGTTTTAACATTGTGCTTGACACCAAGGACAGAATATAGACTATGACCTAGCCTCTGCTCTTCAATTGTCATATCTAATTGTCCACAGGTAATCAGAAAAAAAATCTATAAACATACCAAGTTAAGTGAAAAAAGTCATAGATTCATGTCTAAAAGTTATTTGAGGCCAGGCATGGTGGCTCACACTATAATCCCAGCACTTTGGGAGCCAAAGTGAGAGATTTGCCTAAGCCCATGGGTTCAAGACTAGCCCGGGCAACTGGGTGAGACCTCATCTCTACAGTAAATCAAAAAACTAACCAGGTATGGTGGCACATGACTGTAGTTCCAACTACTTGGAAGGCTGAGGGGAAGGATGGACTGAGCCCAGCAGGTCGAGGCTACGGTAGCCTTGAGCATGCCACTGCACTCCAGCCTGGGCAACAGAGTGAGACTCTGACTCAAAAAAAAAAAAAAAAAAAAAGCCAGTATCACTTTTGTAATCTAAAACTCTATCAAAGTAAACAGTCTGTTTAATCAGATGGGAAGTAGTCAAGAAAGACCCCTACTCAAAAAATACAATAAAAACACAAAGAACCAGTAAGAGGGGTGTTCTCAGCAGGAAACTGAGCAAATATGCATGAGACATGAAGTTTTCAGGAAATCATAAAAACCTGATGGTGTTTTGAGTTATCTTCGTCATTACTAAGTTCTGGGGGTGCATGTGGGATGCCTGACCCTAACCAAAGAACAGTGATCAAATGCAGCACCGTGTTAGGGTTCTAGGGGTAAGTGTACCCCTTTTATTCTCCCAGAGTTCAGAACTCTTTGAAGAATAGGACATAGGATTTAGGCAGATAGGGACTTTTTTCATGTCTTTATGAAAGAGAAAGCAATGGGAAGACGTAGTTTAAATGTGCAGTCACAGTGGGTTTCTTAATCCTTCTTCATCCCAGCATTTACTTAGTCACAGGTGGAGAGCTAGGTACTGCAGAGACTGCCCAGGACATTATCACAACAAACCTGGAAAGCCTGGTCTCTGCAGCATGGGCCACCCAACAGGTGGAGCTGGAGGGCTAGAAGTGAGCGTGCTCAATTTCTTCCCCGGACTCTCCAATGAGATCAGTCGCCCTCTTCCTGGACAGAGAAGCTGAAATGATACTCCCTAACTTTTTCTTCCTAGCAAGCTGTGGAGGTTACCTCCCTATGGAAACTTGAGGAGGACAAATAAGTTTAGTCCTAATGTTCTTCAGCTTCATGTCCTCACTTGACCCACTGGGATTAACATTTAAGGCAATAGTCTGACAGTTGTCCTGGTTGGGGGAAGATATCCATAGTGCTTTCAGATTTTAATTCATTTCCTCTGCCAACTTGAGAAATGTGAACCAATGTGTGCCAGAACCACGCCACCTACCAAAGTAAGGGGTGGGGAGAGACACAAGGAGCACGCAAACCAAAAATAAAATCCTAAGAACCCCAATCAACTGAACAGATGTCTCCTTGGCCTAGGGGACCCCAGGAAAACCTGAAAAACTGAATTCCTGGTCATAATGGAAGGGAGATTGGGTACATCTGGTTATATCCTCTTCCTTTCAGAGCTTGGGTTAAAACAGAGATCATAAGAATGACAAAACAAAACTGGGCATGGTGGCTCATGCCTGTAATCCCAGCACTTTGGGAGGCTGAGGCAAAAGGATTGCCTGAGTCCAGAAGTTCAAGACCAGCATCTCCACAATAAATCAAGAAAAAGTAGCTGGCATGGTGGCACATGCCTGTTGTTCCAGTTATTTGGAAGACTAAGGCAGAAGTATCACCTGATCCCAGCAGGTTGAGGTTGCAGTGGTCGTGAGCATGTCACTGCACTCCAGCCTGAGTGACAGAGTGAGACTCTGACTCAAAAAAAAAAAAAAGAAAAGAAAAAGAATAACAAGACAGAGTCTTTGTGGCGATAAGATACCAAATTAATAAACAAGACCAAAGGCTAAGCATGTCAGGAGTTAAGTCATATCCTACAACCGTAAAATCTTGTTAAATGGGTTTTTTTTATTATCCCAGTATAATGTGGCTTACTCTCCCACCTGACTCTTGTATAGCATCACATGACAGCCTCAGAGGCAGCTGCTCTCAGAAACAATAGATGGCAAGTGTTTCTTTTCAACCTTAAATGTGTCAGACTCTCTGTTAATCTCTCCTACATGCGAGGCCTAGAAAGGGAAGGCCTTGTGCATTAAAGGAAATGGAAGCAAATTTTCCCATAAAAGATGGCTTTGTAGGGCCATTTCAAAATATGTCAAAGATATATATTTTGGGGTAAAATATAAATCATCTTTTATGGGAATATTTGCTTCCATTTCCATTAATGCACAAGGCCTTCCCTTTCTAGGCCTCGCATGTAGGAGAGATTAACAGAGAGTCTGACACATTTAAGAAAAGAAACACTTGCCATCTATTGTTTCTGAGAGCAGCTGCCTCTGAGCCTTCATCTACATAACAAGGACTTTGGCCTCTATAACTCCCCTATCTTAATTCAAGCATTCTTTTTCTACTAGCACCAAGTCTTTACATAATGATTAATTCAAACCAATTGCCAATCAGAACATCTTTGAATCTCTTCTTTTCAAGATATTATGCCTCTTTAGGCTGAAACAACGTGTACCCTTCATGTATTGATTTATGAGTTTACCTACAATTCCTGTCTCCCTAAAATGCATAAAGCCAAACTGTAACCCAACTACCTCAGGCACACTTTCTCAGAACCTCTTGAAACTGTATTCAAGGCCATGGTCATTCATACTGGCTCAGAATAAACAAACATGCAAGAATTAAAGGAAAATTCTGGGCTGGGCACAGTGGGTCATATCTATAATCCAAGCATTTTGGGAGGCTAAGGCAAGAGGATTATATGAGCTCAGGAGTTCAAGACCATCCTGGGCAACATGGTGAGACCTTGACTCTACAATAAATCAAAAAATTAGCTGGGCATGGTGGAATGCGCCTGTTGTCCTAGTTACCTGGAAGGATAATGTGGAAGGATCACCTGAGCCCAGAAAACTGGGGCTGCGGTGGCCATGAATATGCCACTGCACTCCAGCCTGGTTGACTGAGCTAGACTCCAAGTCAAAAAAAGAAAAAGGGAAATTCTGAAAAGAAAAAAAATTTTTAAGTGACTATTGTTAGGGTTCGGATGGACAGGGAGAGGGTGGATGGAGAGAGGCGCGCAGCACTGCTGGGGCTGGCCAGCCAGAGGTGCCGCGCTGGGAACCCAGAGATCCGAGTAAATTGTAAAGAATTGCGACACACAGAGGTGAGAGAAGAAAATATTTATTTAAGAAAAGTTCACCCCCACAGACAGGGAGTGGGCCTACACTCTAGGTGAGTGTTGTTGTACCCAAATCCTGAATCTGAGAGACCATCAAAGAGCCAGCTCCAATGCAAATCACATGAGGGTCTTTATTCAGGCTCGAATCTGGGCTCACGTCGGTTACCGGCACAGCGGTACAGGAACAAGAACAAGAGCCCCAACTCAGGTTTGCAAGCATTTTTTATACACGATTTGGAAGGAGTGGGGTGGCATTACAGACTTGTCCACACAGGATTGGATGGAATTGTATGAGTACGGTTACAGAGATACTGACTGGTTGGTTTGTATTTGGTTTGCGTGGGCGCGGGCTCGAGTTCCGGCTGACCATGACTGACCACTAACGGGCCAGACGGGCGGGGTGGAACCAGTTAGGTCTTCTGGAATGTTAGATAACTGGAGGCACTTGTAACATATTTACTCGGGGGGCCCAGGTCCGCCAGGTCCGCACAGTCATCGTGACTGTGCATAAGCTGGACCCTGGGTTCGAGAACATATTTACTAGAAGCTAAGGTCTGCATAGTCACTGTGACTGTGCATAGGTCAGCTCTGGCATA